GGGCAGGCGGGGATTGAACTCAGGCGGAAGTGGCTTAAGCTTCTCAGTGCAGCACTTTAATCCACTGTGCCACCAGGGAGGGCCCATGTGTCTGAGCATTTTTAAGCCAACTGTTTAGCTATAAATATCAGATGCTTTGACTTTATTTGGGAGGGAGGGAGGGTGAGTGGACATTTTTATGGAATAATTCAGGTAAATGTGTTAATGATGTATTTCTAATAGGGCAAAAAAGACGTGGCTCAAATTTTCAACAATATTCTCAGAAGACAAATTGGTACAAGAACTCCTACTGTGGAATACATCTGCACCCAGCAGAATATTTTGTTCATGTTATTGAAAGGGTACGTATAATGTGATAAAATTCACCTTCTCCGTTGAAAATAAGGGAAGATGGTCTTGGCAAGACCACAGTGGTAAACACAGGAAAGCCTGTTCCCGAAGTCGGGCCAGCTTCGTTCCCGGAGGCCTTGAGCACGCCTCCCCCGTAAAGCCAGCCTGAGAGCCAAGCTGAGTTTGAAAACGCCCGCGGAAGCATGAAGCTAGGTGGGTTGTGGGCCTTCAAGTCACGTGGCGCAACATCTGCAGAAGCACAGACATGGTAGTAGAAAGTAGAACAGTAACTCTTCTGTGGCCTCACTACTCTGCGAATGGAACCCCTGGCTGTCCACTTCAAGGCATCTGGGTAGGCCGCAGATGCGCCCTGCGGCGGCACGTGCTGCCTGGCCAGCAGGGCCCGCTGAGGAAAGTGCGTGTTTACAAAGTAGAAGCCTTTGCTTTCTACCACGTGTCCACTCACTTACCCCACCCAACTTGGGTATGCTCAGAGCGAACTCCTGGAACTACTGTTGGGCTAGGCAGGCTTTTATGTGTGACAGACAGACAAAACCCTAAAAATGTAGTCCTTCTCCCTCGACGCCGAGCCTCCCTGGCTGGCAGAGCGCCTCCTATTGTCCGATCCCAGAGCCGTGTGCCAGCTCAGGCCTGGGTGTGCCCGCCTGTCCCCACGGCCGTGTGCCTTCAGGGCCGGCAGGCGCTGCGCTGGCGTGGCCGTGGGTGTGAACCAGCCTGCTTTTCTGTGCCAGCTTCATGCTGGCCTCTCTTCTGATTCATACCTCCGTGGTTTAGCACTTCCCCCAGGTTCAGACTAGTTCAGACAGCGCCTGAGTCAGTGCGTGTGTTGGATGCCAGCTTTGTATTTCCTTCTTTCTATTACTGTGTCTGCGTTGTTTCCTCAAATGTTGCCATACAGAACTTCTGGCATCTGATTTTTGTTGTATAAACTGGGAGTTGCATGTGTAAACACATCGTGAGTATTCTAAAATTTTGGTGTCTTAGCACAGTTTCCAGATGCTCCTGTGTATTTTTAGAGCCAGTATTTCCTTTTCTGTAGAAAGCAGTGGTTATTGATCCCACACTTAGTTAAAACCCAATCGACATTTTCATTTAGAATAACCAGGAGTATGATAGGAACCTCATTAAATGCCGCGTCAAGTAAAACTTAAAGTGTAAAATTGTCATCTGAGCTGACCAGAGTAGTCTTCAGCTAGGAAAGAGGGGTGGAGAAACAGGGAGAATATACGACATAAACCTGCAAGGAATAATCGTTGCGTCTTCTCCTGCCCACCCCCAGGCTCAGTGAGTTTCAGCTTGTCCCCGCGTCACACCCCTTCAGCGAGCCTCTCTGTTGCTTGATGCATACAGTGGTTTGTTTTGTTTTCTTTTAATATAATCATGTTACCACTTACAAAGCTTCCATTTCCTAATGCCTTCATTTTCATCTCTAAAAAGGTTATTTTCCAGTTTACTTCATTGATATTTAGTCCCGAGACTAAATTTCGTTGATAGGACTCAGGTCTCTTTTAAGCTATGATAATTCCTACCCTCTTTTTTTTTTTTTTTTTTTTAAGATTCATTTATTCATGCATACAGAATTGGGGTACAGGCCAGAGGTGCAGGGGTGATGAGAGGATTCACCAGAGACAGAGTGGGGAGCAGAACAGGCAGATCGACAAAGTACACCGCTGAGGGGAGCAGTGGGTGGGTCAAGAGAGTCTGCTGAGCCATGTGGTCACCTCCGGGGCAGGCGGGGATCGAACTCACGCTGAAGTGGCTGTAGCTCCTTAGTGCTGTGCTGTAACCGGCTGCGCCCCAGGGAGGGCCCGCTACCCTCTTTTTAAAACGTGTCATTTATTTATTGAAATTCCTGGGCCATTTATTCTGTAGAAGAATCACATTTGGATCTGCGTCCCTGGGGTTTCATGTTCAAGTTTATGTAGTTGTCATTTGTTCCACTCAGTTATCTGGTCCAGAGGGTTGATAAGATTCTGACTCAGCAGGATGGTGCCAGGCACTTCCTGCTGCCGGACCTGGCTGTCCCACTTCTGGTTCTGTTTAGATTAGTCAGTGGGTCCAGGTGGAAACTGTTTATCATAAAAATAGTTCCTCTTCGACCTTTTACCTACTGCCTATAGTATCCACAGAGGATCAAAGTTTAGTTTCAAGATGGCAATTTCCTAATTCTGTCACTCCTTTTCTGTATGCCAGTTTTTTTCTTTTACCATCACAATGACTTAGTTACCCCAAGAACAAGCTATATGGGAGACGCCAGATAAACGCTTGATTCTTTTTCACTTTGTTTGGTGCCATCACTTGGTGCCCTAACCATATCTTTGCATGAGCTCAGCGTGTCCATGTTGTCGTCTTTCACTTGCTTTATTGCTGTTGAAGTGCCGTTGTCCAGCGCCCTCCGGCCACCAGAGAGCCCGTAATCCCCGCCCAAGTCCATGACGCTCTCCCTCCACCCACCACCCCCTCGTTCTCACCCTTCCCCCTCCAAGCCATAATCTATGGTCAGCTTTCAAGAGTTACTTTTAAAGTTTGTCTTTGACCGTTTGTTTGGTTTATCTGTGTTCTGCATATAAGGCCACCCAGTGTTTATCTTTCTCTGGCTTGTTACTGTCTTCAGCGTCATGAACTCAAATTTTGAGGTTCCTTAAAATATATCTGATGTGTCCCAACTCACTGTAGTCATATATCCAAATTCTTCATCTAAACTGCCCACCCTGCGCCGGGGAGCTCGTTCGCATTGCTCCTGTGTCCTTTCGGTAGGACCTTCACTTGTCTTGGGTGGCTGCTCCCCGGTCTTTTTTTCCTCATCCCTGCCCCAGACCTGGGGAGACCCATCTCTTCTAGGAGTCCTGGGGGGCTACCACCGTTAAAGACATTTATACCTTCGTTGATTAAGTAGTGTACCCTGTTTTTACACAGTGGGCTTATCTGCTCTGGCCTTAAGTACCGCTGTTAGACGTTTGGGGAGTTTTGCTGTCACTAGTAGTAGACATTGCAAATAGTCTTGTTCCTAGAGTCCACCTGAAAGCAGTAGGGTTGTCACTGGTCACTTAAGTGTTAATGGCTCTCTGCTCTGCTGCTAACAGGTCTCTCCTTCCTTCCATAACTGTTTGTTTGCCTTGGAGGGCAGTGCTGGCTTGTGGCTTAGTCATTTAAGACAAGCTCAACAAGACAGACTACCATCAAAACCTGCCCGGCTTGCCCCAAACCATCTGCCCTGCCTTTCAAGTCTGCTGCTTATTAAAGATCAGTGGAGATGAATTATATGATCAGCTGTTTTGTGAGCAGACATTTTAATCACCAACGAGCCAATCAGCATTCTAGCCGTCACGCCAGAAGTGAGGCAGGAATGTAGCTCCGGTTGGCCGGGATCTGTGCGAGCTTGTGCAGCAGCAGGACGGTGTAGCTAGTGGTGCTGCAGGGTGTCGGGACAGAATGTGAGTCTGGGCCAAGAAGGCAAAGGCTGCAGAGGAGATGGCACTTAAGACTGAAGTTCCCGTGATTTAGACTTCACACGCGCAGGAAAAATGGAGCGTGGGAAGGAGTAAGCGCTGATTGGCAGCAGTGAGGAGCGGGATGCCCGTCAGACGGCTTCGGCTTTTGTCTTGTTCTTTTCCCACCATCACCCCTAATACTCCTTTGGCTGTTTCCCGCCCTTGTCCATCCTGCCCTTCTCCCCGCCCCCGGCTTCCACCCCCACAAAAGCCTCTTGTCAGCTATTGGTGTTCTTTGGTTTTTATAAGTATCTTACTTTTTGGTCAGATTATCTGCTGTGTCAGTGTCCCATATTTGTCTCTGTCATTCTGACTTGCTTTTTCAAGTTGCTGTGAAAGGCAACATTGCCTTTGCCTTTACAGCCGGTAGCCTTACCCTGTGGGGCAGGCCACACCAGTCCTCTGTCCTGGCGTCTCCTAGTGGTGGAGATAGCGCTGCACTGCAGAGCCTGTGATTTTTGACTTTGTGGCTTTATTCTTTGCACTTTCTTAAGGTAAATCCAGGTGGTCTTCTGTACTGGCCATCCCACTTACATTTCCATCAGCAGTGTAACAGGGGTCTTTGTCCACATCATCTCCAGCACTTGTTGGGGCGGGGGGTCTCTCAGGTGCTAGTTTCTGAGAGAACTGTGCTAGTCTCCCAGGTACGAGGCTTGTGTGACAGGGGGAGATGCATTGTATCCTGAGGAAACTGCACATTAAGCCCTAAAGCTTACCTTTATTTGATGAGCACAAAGAAATCATCTTAAACTCCTAAGCCACAGGTGCCGTTGATACTTATGTATGTTGGCTAAATTGGTTAAGACTAAGCATGAACAAAAGAGGTGGCGAGAGGTGCCTGCAGCCCTGCGGGATTCACAGCAGTGGGAACAGCAGGCAGATGAGACCAACCAACCTTAGAAAGAACGGGTGGCAGTGACGAGGGATCGGGGAAAGACGAAGTGAGGAGGTTTAGGCCTGTGACCTAACAGGACCTTCGAATGGCATGTTCTTATTTAATTTTGAATTAGTTGAAATTAAATAACTTTTCTAATTGAACCCTCAGTGCCATTAGCCAAAATCAAGTGCTTAGTGGCCACATCACGGACTGCACAACTGTAGACCCTTCCCCTGGGGCGGGGGCTCTGCAAGACCGTCCCAGGCCAGTGTCTCAGACAGCGGTGACGCCAAATCACAGCAACAAGAAGACGAGAGAAGCTTCTGTGGAGGGAGATGAGCTTTGTTTTTTGGCAGGTTGTGTTTATGGGGACTTCTGGCTGAAGTTACTCAGAGGCAGCAGAAAGGCCGAAGTACTTGCCATGGTGCCCTGGGCCAGGCCAAAGGCCCCGGACGTTCACCAGCCAAGGCCAGAGCCTGGAAGGAGCTGGGAGAGTTTGCTCTCTTTAAGGCACGAGATGCTACAGGCACTTGTCTTTGTTGTGGGATATTGGGGAGCCAGAGGCGAGTCGGGGAGGGGGAAGCTGTGGGACCCCCACACAGGCAACTTGGAAAGAAGCGGGGATAAGGCCGCACTGGCAGAGAGGTGGGACCCTGTGCAGAAGCTGGTGCCTGGCAGAAGGGAGAAGCCCACAGCGCTGAGGTGGGGGAGACTGTGAGCCCCGGTGGCCGCCAAGCAGGCCTCGGGCACTTGAAAAATCCCAGAAACCCAGCTTTTGACTTTGTGGGGTTTGCATGTTGCCAAGAGTCCTACAAGCACTATTTAGAGGATTGAATGGAAACAGCACGGTATGTACATGACCTGTAGAGAAATGTGTGTAGAGGCTGTGAATTTGGGAAACACGTTTGTTTCCTTTTGGCTTTCTGTTTCACTTTCCGTGTTTCTGAAGCATTGACAGTGCTACGTGTAAGACTAGCCCCTTTGAACGTGTGGCCCTGAACACTCCTTTCCAAGTCTTTGACACGATGAACTTCATTTGCACGATCACACTCGGTGTTGCTCTTCTTTGGGTCGAAGCAGGTGCTCCTCTCGGAGAGGCCCTTTATCACTGCCTTGCTCGGGCTCATCTGAAACTTGGCAAAATTTTGAAGTGCTTAGTGTTGGAGTTTTAAAAGGATAATCACGTTTGTTTGTTTCTCCTTTTGCAGGTATGAATCTCCAGAAATAGCTCTAAATTGTGGGATAATGTTAAGAGAATGCATCAGACATGAGCCACTTGCAAAAATCATTTTGTGGTCAGAACAGTTCTATGACTTCTTCAGATATGTTGAGATGTCAACATTTGACATAGCTTCAGATGCATTTGCCACGTTCAAGGTAACGAACTAAAGAACTCTGTTTACATACACCTGCCGGTCAAAGTAATAGATGTGCTATTGTTGCTAGTCTCTGCCCTCTGAGCTTCTACACGACTGCCCTCTAGTGGGAAAAGGGGGAGGGGTGCTAGAGAGTCACAGCAGAGCTTTTCAAAGGATGCAGACGGCAGTCTGAGGAGGTCCGTGAGAGGGGAAGTCCCACGGGTGAAGGGCTTGTCTGTGCCGTTACCCGTCAAGAACCACGTCTACATGCACAGCGCCGCCAGCTCCGGCTTCTGTGTAGTGACTGCAGAGCAGAGTCTGGTGGGCTTGGAGCTTACTGTGTTATACCAGTGTAAGGTTCTAGAAAATACTTTTTTTTTTTTTTTTTTTTTTTAAAGATAAACTTATGGCCCTCCCTGGTGGTGCAGCGGGTTAAAGTACAGCACTAAGAAGCTTAAGCCGCTTCCGCATGAGTTCGATTCCCGCCTGCCCCGAGGTGACCACATGGCGTGGCAGACCTCTCCTGACCCGCCCGCTGCTCCCCTCAGCAGTGGACTTCTTCGATCTGCCTGTTCTGCTCCCCTCTCTGTCCCTGGTGAATCTTCTCACCCTCCGCATCTCTGGTCTGTACCCCAATTCTATATGAATAAATAAATAAATCTTTTAAAAAAAAAAAGATAAACTTATGCATACAAGAACTGGGGTACAGGCAGAAGTATAGGGGTGAGAGAACTCACCAGAGACAGAGTGGGGAGCAGAACAGGGAGCTCTATTGAAACACACTGCTAAGGGGGGCAGTGGGGAGACAGGAGAGGTCTGCTGTGCCATGTGGGTCACCCCCCCAGCCAGGGATCAAACTCGTGCTGCAGTGGCTGCGAGCGGCCTCATAGTGCCGCCCTTGAACCTGTTGCACCACCAGGGAGGACCCTAGAAGATATTTCTAAAGAAATAAAATCTGAGCATTTTGGAAAGGAAGGTGTATGCCCAGAGGCGGCACAGATTCAGAGTCAGTCAGTACTGGTGCCATGTAGGTCAGCGGCTGGGTGTGCTGCTGGAGCTGGGCACATCCCCTCTGCTGGCGGCTAGGGCCCTGGTGTCCCCCAGGTGTGTGTGGTGGGCATCAGCTGTTAGGCTTGTTCTGTGGTGCAGCGAGACGACCTGTTGCGGTGGGTACGGCAGGAAGACTGACGCCAGCTGGAGTTTGGTGAGTGATTCACAGCAGTTCAGCGCCATCTCCATACGGTGCTGGGAGCCAGATGGCCGTCAGCCTGAGAGAGTTCCCGCAGGTCTCCTGCCAGGCTTTGTCCCCGCTGGATCCAGTTAAACATTTTTATTACTGACCAAAAAGGGATGCCCAGGCCTCCTTGCCTGGCGATAGCCGCGAAGCGCAGGCAGCAGGCAGCAGCAAGGCTGTGTAAAGGTCCAGAGGCCAGGATGTGGCCAGCAACGTGCAGACACCTGAGCTCCTCCCCTGAGGCCCGGCTGTGATAGGGGCTGTGGGAGTAAGGTGCCACAGACTACTGGCCCCAGTGGTTCCCAAGATAATGGTGACTGCAGTAACCCTGTGGCGGCAATAGCACTACCTCCTGTACAAGTAAGGAAAGTCAGACAGTAAATGGGGAAGCTAGAATTTGAACCCCGGCAACCTGTCTGGAGCCCACTCTGAAAAACAAAATTCTGGACGCGTCCAGTAAAGAAACTAAACAGTGAGACACTGCCAAGCCTTGCGGACATGTCCTGTGGCCTCAGGCGCTGCACCGTGGAGGGTAGACGGGAGATGGCGAGGACTCGGCCTGTCTTCCGAGAAGTGGTTAAAGCAAGGGCGTGCTTAGCGGGAACTGGGGCTTGCCTTGCGCGCACGGCCCTGTAGGAACTGGATTAAGCCTACTTGTGGTATCTGCCAGTTTCTGGAGGTAATCTGGGCATAGCTTTTTGCTCGAGCACAGAAGAACTTTCTGACTAACTCTTTGGGGCTCCAACGTTGAGCCACAAAGCTGGAAGAACTGAGTTTCTTGTCCTTGGATGTGGTCAGGCATCGGGCTGGAAACTGGACAGTAACTTGGGGCCTTGTGGAAGTCAGCCCTGGCGAGCCACTCTCCTTCAGGGAGTCCTGGCCTGTCTCGGGCAGCGGGTGTTGGGGGCCCAAGCTCACCTAGCCCTTAGAATTTCTTCAAACTCAGCCCACCTCCAAAGGTGGCTGTTGAATCCTTGGGACTTTCAGGAGGTTACCTGGGGTCTCAGCAGGTGGGAAATCAAATCCCACCCTTCCCCCTCGAACCCCCCGGCCCCTTCGTCTCTCGTTTCTTGGGTTCTGTCCCGCCAGTTTGAGCTCTCCCAAGCAAGCGTGTGGCTCTGGCCCCGGGTCTCATGGCTCTACTAAGGGAGGCCCCAGTTCCCACCTCTTTTTGCCAGTTCGCCTTCACTTTTTCTCGATGCTGTACTTAGTCATTAATTACAGACTTTCTGCGGATGTCAGCTCTTCCCTGCACCAAGCCTGCTTCACCAGGTCTCTCTGGTCTCTCCAAGGCCATCGAGGCCTGGTTCCTCCTTGGCAGGGGTTTGCTGGGTTTCCTGGTCCCTGAATCACATAGTAACAGACTCCCCTAGTAGGGGCTGTGGGAGCCACCCCCGTCTCGTGTATGGCCCACCTGTGAGCCTCATGCCCTTACTTGAGACACGTCCTTCAGGGTAGGTGGGCATCCCTCAGAGCCGCAGCGTGAGTCTGCCGCACCGGGTGCTGGAGAGCTTGCTGCCCGAGCAGGCCTGCCCAGGGCCCAGGGACACAGTTGGCGCCGCGGTCTCTGAGACGCCGTCTCTGGCCTTCTCTCCGATGGGACAGAGCAGTGAATGCCGGCGTCCCCCTTCCCTGTGCTTCCTCTCGTCAGTCTCCAGGTCAGTTTAGGCACAGGAAGCAGAAGTGGCAGCCAGTGTCTGTGGGTCCGGAGATTAGTCCTCGGTTTGCTCGCTGTGTCCCTTCACGCTTCTCGGCTCTGTTCCTGTCCTAGAGGCGCCTGCTCGGGGCGCCACAGAAATGTGGCAGTTAGAAGGTGGGGTGTGCCCTTCAACAGCAGGCTTGCCTCCGCCCCACCCCCCTAGGGCCCCCCCACGTCTGCACCCCAGGGCGGGTGCTAAATAACCGTGAATCTGCAGTCAGGAGGCACCAAGGCCTCTCTGATCCTGCTGTCTAATTCCCAAGGCTCTTTCCCTCCCCAGCCATTTGAACACCTGTGACTCTTTGGGGTGCAGTTAGAAGTCTCTGAAGGCCTACTTTGAAGATTGCAATGTGGTGCCGTCCCAGATACAATCCCTGATATTGTTAGTTCACTCATTCAGTTATTAAATGTTAAGTTCTTGCTTTGTGACGGGTGCTAGGAGTCAAAGCTTGGTAAGGGCAGTGATGACTCTCATATTCATAGAATTTATAGGCTAGCTCTCTCTTTTTTTTTAAGAAAAAGATTATTTTCTTATTTATTTCTCCATACAGAACTGGGTACAGGCCAGAGGTGCGGGGGCGGTGAGAGGACTCACCAGAGATGGAGCAGGGAGCGGAACAGGCAGATGAGGAAGTACACTGCTGAGGGGAGCAGCAGGGAGACAGGAGAGGTCTGCCGCGCCATGTGGGTCACTCCGGGGCAGGCGGGGATCAAACTGGCACCAAAGCGGCAGCCGCCAGCCTGCAGTGCCGCGTCCTGACCCGTTGCTGGGCTAGCTCTCTCTTACGGGAGCTTAACCCAGCGGGCGGCCCTAGCCTGACCAGGCGTTCATGCCACAGGCAGACTGAAGGGCCCCGTGCAGGCGATGCTCGAGGGGCGGCCTGTGAGGAGCCCTGGCAGGAAGCCTGGTGAGGAGCTCTGAGTAGGTGGCAGGAAAGCTCCTCGCCGATCTTCCCGGTGACCCAGATCCCGGGAGGAGCCGGCGCGCGCACGGTGCCCCCCTGCCCGTGGGCCGGGGCTTCCTCTGGCCGGTCCCCACGGCCAGTGTTGGCATTTGAATTTCCTTCAGGAAGCATTCGTCCCCTGTAACTTGGGTGAACTTCCACGCCAACAGCAAAGAAAGTAAGATCTGAGAGCTGTTGTGGAGGCGCCTTGTCCGCCTGCCCCGGGTAGGCAGCTCTGCGCACTTGTGTCCATGACTGGCACTCCTGCTGCGACACGATTCTCACTCCCACTGGATACTGAGCCACGTCTGGGGCTGGCACCTGGGTCCTTGAAAGAGGACACGTCTCTTTGTCTGTGGACTCCAGCGGCTAGAACTTTCTGGCACATAGTAGGTGTTTTCGAATGATCTGTGTTTCCAGAGAAACCCACTGGGTGCAGCTTTAGCTCTGCGGATGCTGCATTTTTGCAGCAGCAGTCTGGCCACTTAGCCAGCAGTGTGCTTTGGTGGCACCTTTGATTTTGTATTTTTTTGGAAAAGGATTTATTATGCATACAAGGCCAGAGATGCGGAAGGTGAGAGGACTCACCAGAGACAGAGTGGGGAGCAGAACAGGCGGATCCACTGAAACACACTGCTGAGGGGAGCAGCGGGGAGACAGGAGAGGCCTGCTGCGCCCTGGGGTCCCTCCCTGGCCGGATTGGACTTAAGCCTCAGCCACTAGGATGATAGCTGCCTAGTGCTGGGACTTAACCCCGTGCGCCACCAAGGAGGCCCATGGTGGCTTTTTTTTTTTTTTTTTTTTTTAAGTTTCTATCTTTGAAAAAAAGTGGCACCATAAATCAACCTGAGTGTAATTGAACTCAGGGGCTCAGCACGGACTCTTCACTATTTCCAACACCAGCAGTGTTGTGGCTTTTACCACAGCTGTTCCTGGCACTTCCCTTCACAGCTCTGTTCCAGTCTGTATTTCTATCCCTTTGTGTTTGTATTTTCATTTTACCTTCTACGAGCTAGGGACCTGTGACTAGTCAGAATAATTGAAATCCCAATTTCAGTAGTTAGTGATTTTATTGCTCGTCTGTAGAATCAGTGTTTCCGATACCGCTCCTACTCGTGTCACCTTAAGCACAGCAATTTTTAGCAACAGTTTTTACTAGGTAAAATGTCGTGAGGATTTTTGGTGTTCTTTTTTTCTAAAAGAACTTGAATGCGAAACAGTTGTAAAAATTATATTTTCTTTTTCTAGGATTTACTTACAAGACATAAATTGCTCAGTGCAGAATTTTTGGAACAGCATTATGACAGAGTAAGTATATGAAATACTACTTTAAAAGCACATTGTGTGGATTTTGTTATTGGAAATGATTTAAATTGGATTTTATACCAGAATATTTGTTGTTCATAGATAATGCATTTAAAGGGTACTTTAATCAGTTCTCTACTGAAACACAGTGTAGTATGTTACTTGGTCAGAAACAAAAAGATACTTTTTGATTGGCACGTTGCCCTCCCCACCTTTGCTGGCTGGAGAGGTGGGACGAAAGCTCCCTGCTGCTGGCTGACTGATACAGGAAGGTGCTGCCTGACCATGCTTCCTGCCTCCCTGCTGCTCACCTGGGAGGAGGTGGCCTCTGGGGGAGCCGCTGGGGGCAGTGGCCGAGGCGGCTCCTGTCTGTGCGGTGCAGGCCTCACTGTAGATGGCAATGTTGGCCCCTTCCAGACTTCTGCTCAGTCTGACAGCACCTCAGTGCCCTGACGGCCAGCTGGTGTCTTGTGCCCCCAGCGGCCTGGGCAGCAGCCCGAACTGCCGCGTTGTTTGGCCTGATAGGTGCTCCTGGAGAGGCCATGGCAGCAGCCCTCGGCGCTCCTGCAGGTGGCTCAGGCAGCTGGCACTGCTACTCAATTGACTTTTTGGAATTCTGGGTAATAATACTGTGTTGCCTTCTTCGCTGCTCAACTAGCTTGCAAGGCTCTTGGAGGCAAAGCATGCTTCTGTTTGTCCGTTCTGCCTGCATGTCCCGTCCGTCCCCAGGGACATACGACGAAATGCGGCGTGTACAGTCAGACCTTCAGAAACAGCCTCACGTGACTTGCCCATGGCTGGTCATTTTTGTCTCTGCCCGTGTGTGTCTGAATACAGGCGTTGCCTCCCACCTGTGTGAGTGTGGATGGGCAGCCACAGTGCCTGTGGCCAGTCAGAGTAGGCTCGGGCCAGGCGCCTGGGGTCTGGCCTCGCACCCTGCCGCACAGCAGCTCACTCTTGATTTGTACTGCCCTGTAGTCCCAAAGCTTTTTTCCCTCCAAGCACACCAGTATCTTAATGTCAAGCTTGTCACAGATAGAAGCTCACCGATTTCTGAGACTTTTACTGCAGCAGTGACGTTTAACTTCGTAGTTCAATATTCTCCCTCCTGTTATTAATGGATGATGTCAGTGGGAATTTAGAAAAATTTATGTGAGGTCTCTAACAAAAATGTCTGGTCAGTTAGAGCCAACAGAGGGGAGGGGTGGGTAATTTAAATTAAGCAAGGGGTCAGGCTGTGACCCAGAAGTGCACATCTAAAATCTTAGCCGCTTGGGCTCCGAACAAGCAAAGCATCGAGAGAAGCAAAAGCAGTGAAGGAATCACACGTCTGCAAAGCGAAGCTTTTGCGCCTGGCGCTCTGAAGAAACTTGTCAGCACTGGCACAAATCATCCCTTGGCGTTCAGAAGGGGCAAAAATGCATGTCAGGCACATGGCCTCAGGCAACCCTGCAGGGAACAAATAGGACTGGAGGTGAAGTTGGTCCCCGGAAGCGAGCCCAGGGGCCAGCGTGGCTTTGCTCCGGCCCAGGAGTGAAAGCTGACAGATGGGCGGCGGGCAGTCTCAGGGGCTGCAGGCCCTTCCCTGGAGAAGGGTTCCTGGCCGCCAGGCTTACCCCAGGAGAGGCGCAGAAAAGCTGAATGTGCACCGTCAGGAGCTGAAGTTGACACAGTCTTCTGACCGAGGTGGATCTCACTGTTGAGATTGTCGTGTGAGGAGAAGCCAGGCTCAGCGAGGCTCAAGGCCTGTCTAAGAGAACAGTCGGCCCTGGTCACACTCGGGTGACAGCCCCACCCTGCGGAGCTGAGCGGGAGGAGGCGTGCGCAGGCCATGGCCGTCTGAAAGCCTCTCCTACCGGGCCAGGCCCTCGGGGCTGCGGGGACAGCTGAAGTGGTGCCCAGGCGAATTTCTTTGCAGTACACGAGTGAGGAAGAAACAGAGCGCTAACCCCGGCCGTCTGAAGCGCCCCTCCCCGCGTGCCTTGAACGTAGCCCGGCCCGTGCGTCCCTCCCCGCCTTAATCTGCTGCTGTCCTCGCTGTGCAGGACGCAGATCCTGCCAGGGACGCCATGTGCACATCCAGTGGACACTGGTCACCTCTCATTCTCCAGGCCCTCGCCCACCCATGTTCTTCCTTTCTTGCCCCCAAGAAAACATTTTTCCTGTTTTGGGAAGAAATTTCCCAAATTTGATAAGCCCTGTGTTCTCTGGGACATCTGTCTCTCCTGTTTTAATTACATTCTCTTCTTGCTTGACAAACTCAGAGAACAGGTAACTTCTCTTTGTGGCTGTGCTTTGATTAATGGAGTTGTGAAAATAGTAATTTTCTAATCTGAACATCAAGAAGTGAGAGTTGGCTCCACAGCGGGGGAGACCGTGGCCCGTGCGTGGGGGTCTGAGGTGGCAGCACGGGACCGAGGTACCTGTGGGCTTGAACGGAACTGGAAGGGGCCACAGGTCCCAGGGGCCCTCCCAGGAGGAACCAGCAGCTTCCTCCAGGCCTCACGCACTGCATCAGAGGATGCACGGGAAGCGGGAGCCGGCAGGCTTTGTGGCGTGAGGGCGGTACTCCACTTTGATGACGGTGTCTGCAGCCTTGAAAAAGCAGCTCCACCAACACGTGTTTTCTTGTCTTTTAGTTCTTCAGCGAATATGAGAAGTTACTTCATTCGGAAAACTACGTGACGAAAAGACAGTCCCTCAAGGTACGGGGCTTGTTTTATCTTGTGGAGTTTCTTTCTTTTCAGCCCATGTTGAGCTTTTTTATTTGCAGAAAGGGAGCTATGCTGGTCTGTGCCGTAGACTCGGGTGGGGCACGTCCATCGTGGGCAGGTTTATGTGGGAGGACTCTTGAGTGCCCCGTGCACGGTGCCTGCCCGCCTCGGGAGTTAGAGATGCCAAAACGGAGTAGAAAATTGTGAAGAGGAATCTATCTCTCAGCAATGCAGCGTTTTAGACGTTGAAGTTTATTTTTAAAACCCAGGGTCATAGCCAGTGGATGCAGGCACTGCGGTGGTGTCTCTCCAGAGCTGCCGACAGGTCCAGGAATAAGATGTGACCAGATTGATCCGTGTAAGATTTAAAATTTTCAAAGGGTTGGCAAACCACAGTCCACGGTGAAAACCCGCTCGCAGTCTGGTAACAAAAACTCGGACGCCTGTGTGGATTGTGCCGGGGTGAACCTGTCTGGTGAACCTGTCTGGTGAGACCGGCCCCTGCCTTGGGCCGCTGTTCCTCGGCAGCTGTCGGTGGAGCTTCCCCTCCACTTTCCTGGCGGCTGCCTGTCTCCACCGCCACATGATTCAGTGCAGGCCCCGGCTCAAAACGAGGCGCCCTCTGCCAAGGGCCTGGTGGTGTCTGAGGGCCAAACGAGCGCCCCTCCCACACGCGGCCGGGTGAGCAGCCGGGTGACGCAGTGGCTCCCCCGGCCGGCGGGCGGGCAGGCGGGCTTGCTGTGGGTGGGAGCTTCCCTCTTCGTGGGAGGAGGGGGCAGTTTTTTCTTACTTGCACATCAATAAGCTGTGGCCAAAGCCTGCCTTCTTGGGCTGCTTGCATAAGGAGCGAAGCTTTCAGGACCTTCCTGCTCCTTGAGAAGCGCCCGGCGGGGCTCCCCTCGGCAGTTCCTTCCACGGGTGGCACCTGAACATGGGGTTTCATTGACTAATTACGCCAAGGTTGGTAGTTCATTAACAGGAGCTTCGAGAACTTACCTTCTGCACATGGCCTCTGGTGGGTTTTTAGTGAGTGAGGCGAACGCACCTGAGAGAACAGGCCTCGTCCCATCTCCTTCCCCCACCCCCATGCGCCCCATGTCGCACGCCCTGCAGGGCCACACCCCCAGAGGCGAGGAGGGTGTCAGGTGCCCACAGTGCCCTGCGCTTGCCATCAGTGTGCGTGAATGGCTGCGGGACCTCTGATTTTTCTTGAAATCTAATGATAATACAAGCGTACTTGTTTCGCTGTCTCCTCAGCTTCTTGGAGAACTGCTGTTAGACAGACACAACTTCACAATTATGACAAAATACATCAGTAAACCCGAGAACCTCAAGTTAATGATGAACCTTCTACGGGATAAAAGTCGTAACATCCAGTTTGAGGCCTTCCACGTGTTTAAGGTAGAGTGCCTGCCTGGGCCCTCTGCAGTGGCGGCCTCGGGCCTCGTCACCAGCATCCAGCAGAACCGACCCAGAACGGCCCTCGGCCACCGGCGCGCAGGGGGACCATCCTCACCTCCCCGTGAAGGTTTATTCTAAAACCAGAATCTGTGTTTTCTGCCAGCTGCTGAGTTTCAGAGCATGAATGGCAGAGTCTCCTGAGGCAAAGCCTCTGCACCGATGCCCTCCCCCCGCCGCGGGCCGGGGGCCGTGGCCGGGGACGCCGTGGCCCTGGGTCCTGTTCTTCCCCGGGCTGATGGCGCTCTCTCTCCACGCAGGTGTTTGTGGCCAACCCCAACAAGACGCAGCCCATCCTGGACATCCTCCTCAAGAACCAGGCCAAGCTCATAGAGTTCCTCAGCAAGTTCCAGAATGACAGGACCGAGGACGAACAGTTTAACGATGAGAAGACCTATTTAGTTAAACAGATCAGGGATTTGAAGAGACCAGCTCAGCAAGAAGCCTAATTCCCAATAAACACCTACAATATTAAATCCAGATTCAGCATTTGCTGGTAGCTATTCCGCATCAGGCGCTCTTACCGATTCATGAGGAACATTACTGCTAATCTGCTGTTAAGTGAACGGTTTTTCCTTTTACCTATTTTGTTTCTTAGTCCGAGTTGGAGAACGTAGCTGCTGCTTCCTTGCACACTAGAGCACACGTGGACTTTTCTTGATCTTTGTGTCATTTCAGAAATCCAGGACTCCGTGGCTGTGGAGTTCGGAAGGTGGCTGGTTCCTGAGGGCGAAGGTCTGGGTGGTTGTGGGACGAGGGCAGGGTGCGGCTTTCTCACACCGCACGGCTCCCTCTCCCCGCTAACAGGCTGCTGCTGGCTGCCTGGCCAGGTCGCCGCCTTCACTGAGGAGGACTGGGGCTCTGGGCAGTCAGGGCGGCAGCTGCATCGAAGAGGAGAGCTTTGGGGCAGTAAAGTTGATAGGAGAATGAATGATGCCGAGACTTAGCAACCTCTCAGAGTGTGACGCTTCACAAGGTCAGGAGGAAAATGTAAATATGCTTTCACAGCTTTCTAGAACTTTTTGACATTGAAGGGTATTTGTTAATTTTACTTTTTGAAGGTATTTTAAAAGAGTAGCTCTAGGATGACACCTTGCATTTCATTTCAACGATGCTTACAGGTTTCTTTTGTATATAATTCTTAGAATGCTCATTTCTTTTAAATGATTTAATTTGTACAGCAGAGGAATGTTATTGTATTAGTATGTAACTATTACCTAATATTGAGTTTTTGCAAAAAATGAATGCTCATATGTAATTGAAATACTTCAAATCACATGAAAATGCTAATTGAACTTTACGTACCACAGCATTAAAAGGAGAAAGTAGCCCAATCTTTGTATTCAGTTACGAGCAGGGCGCCGCCCGGCTCGGTCAGCGCGCCCTGTGTGACGGTGGCCTCACTCCCACGAGCGGGGCTTGGCGACCTCTGGGAGCGGTGCGGATTCCGCTAAATCAGTGCTGATGAGGCGCGCCTAGAGCGCCTTTCCTTCCTCAGAGTAAGCGCGGTAGCTGTGAGCGCGGGTGGCCGAGACTCGGCTTCGCGGCGGGGGGAAGAGTCCTTCGTAGTCAGAGGGGTCCTCTGGGGAGTTGTATTTTTTTTAAATGTCCTGTTCCTTAATGCTGCAAGTTATCAGTATTTATAAAGTAACTGATGTTGCACCTCTTTTTTTTTGTTACTGTGCCCACAGCTGAACACCATGATCTAGAATAGGTCCACACCGTGTTCTAGAATCTGTCCATGTGAAGTGACTAGAATGGCCTCTGTACATCGTAGTGATGCAAAGATCACCACTAACAACTTACAACTCAGAGTTTGCCAGTTCGAATTCAGCATGGCTGCAGCTGATTAAAAAGTTTCTATAATTATTCTTTGCTAGCCTCTCTTACTAATGACTTATTTATCAGCCAGTAAAGTGAAACCCCCAAAGGGTGTTGCAGCAAGTTTGAAAACCCCCCAGGAACAACAGTTAGGAAACTAGCACCAGAAACATAGGCATATTTTATTGTATAAAATGGCACCTGCATCGCAGCTGTCCCCTGAGACTGTCTTACCAGATGTGTGTCAGGTGACTCCGTGTGTGGGGGGGGGTGCACGGGGTGGGGCGGAGCGGAGTCTGGGCCCAGTGGCCAGGGGCACCGGCAGACTTGGAAGCAGGAGGCACCTCGAGGACAGGGCGCGGCCCCCACAGCCCGGCGTGCAGAGAGCGCCACAGCCACACTGGCCTCTGGCTCCCTGTTGTGGGGTTTTTGTTGTTCATTTGCTTTTAAACAAAAATGTGATTCGGAGTTGAAAGTTGCATCTGAGGCTATGATCATTTAATATATATTACCAAAACCGTTGTGCTAGAAGTGGCTTCTCCTTGTGTTATAAAGGTTTGATTTTACGTGAGTCAGTTACTGGGTGTGATTTTTAACCCCTAAACAGGTGGAGATGTATACAGTTGTTAACGATGCCATAAAGCATTTCCTTTCTCCTAAGAAAAGTAAATTTCTTATTGGAATATCTGGCTGGCCCTGTAATTTAAATTAAAATAAAATTTTGGAGAAACAGCGCCGTCCTCTCGTGTCTCTCAGTGTCGCAGGCGCCGCTGTCACGGACCCTGAACTCGCCCAAGGTTTTCTTTGTGGCGTCAGGAGTGGGGCTCCGTTGCCTCCGCGCAGACCAGTTGGGGGCGCAGGCCCTGTCCGGGCTTCCGTGCCCCTCGTGTGGCCCCACCCCAGGGAGAGCCCCGCAGGCATCTGGGGGTTCCTGGGGCCCAGGGCGCCCGTGTCACGCGGCTCCTGCAGGAGTCTCCCTGCCTCCTGGCCTCTGTGCACACCCCACCTCCGTTGTTACCCTGGGGAGACCCCCACTCTGGGGCAGAACCAGCCCCCAGCTGGCGCGCTTCAGGTCGCCGCGTCGCGGGTGTGGCAGTTCTCCCAGGTTCCCGGGGGCAGAACGCTTCGCCGAGGGCAGCATCCCCCCGTCACTGATTCTGCTTCCTTCTGCCCCCCCAAACAGCCGAAACGTTGGGCCTCCAGCCACCCAGGGCTACCAGGTAGCCCTGGACTCTGCCCTGCAGACATGGCTCTGGGAGCTCTTTGAGGTACATTCTGGGAAGCTCGAGTCTGGTACATTCTGGAGGCCAGAACCGCCCCGTCCTGCTGCCGGCCACATGCCCTGAGGGGAAAGATGGCCCAGCAGCAGGCCCCCACCCGGCAGGCCCCCACCCGCGGCCCTGCGCTCACCGGCCTCACAGACAGGCTGTGACTCCACAGGCCCCTCATCCTCTGCCTGGCTCGGCCGCTCCGGCTCCAGCGCTCGGCGCCAGCTCGAGGGGGGGGCACGTGCCCGGGGCCTGTCTGCTTCCTCTGGGCTGTGTCCTCCGCTGTGTGAATCGTGGCTCGGGTGCGTTTCGGGAATACAGGAGATGTGGGGAGGGTGGGTGTTTCCGCATTCTCCACAGTGGCCCCGTTTGCTCTTGGGCCATCCGCGGTCCCCCTAAGCACCGGGGCCCGGGGGCAGGGAGAACACCGCTGCCCCTGTTCTCACCAGCGCCTCTCTGAGGGCGCAGCGGCCACGTGCCCTGGGCGGCTTCCGCAGCCCTCGGCTCCGTCTTCCCGGGGCCGGCCCTCGCCTGACTTCTAGCGCCTTCTTGGCCCAAATCGGGTCCCCCGCCTTAGGCCTCACTCCTTTCCAGTGAGGGGGTGCCCGGCCCGAGGCCTGGTCGAGTCCTGCCCACCCGCACCATTAACCGGCAGTGCCCTGCGGACCTGTGGTCCGAGTCCTGTGTGACAGGACTCTGCGCTCCCCTGTGATCAGACCGGGTCCTCCCCGATGAGGGCGCATTTCCACCTCCAGGGCCTGGTTCTGGGGGAACCTAGAGCACCAGTCCATTTGGCCCCCGCAACCCAGAGCAGTAGCCACCACGAGAGAGGCCAGCGTTGTGGGCGCCGCAGGCCCCCCACAAGTGCCCCCGAGCCGCCTCCAGCTTCGCAGCGGGAGCTCACTGCTGCCCCTGGCTGGGAGCAGCCCCCCACCAGGTGGGGGCCTGGGCACCTGCAGCCCCGACTCCGACCAACCTCGAGCCCCACCTGGCAGCCGCCCAGCCAGGAATGGCGCAGAGCCGGGGGCCGGAACCTCCATTGCTTGACAGTTTTAGATTTGCAGAAAAACATCACAGACAGTCCGCGTCCCCGATACCCGAAGAGACCAGGATCCCCGTACCCCGTTAGTGAACCACTTGCTCAACAGCAGCTCAAGTCCCTGCTCTGCCGGCCTCACCCAAGGGCGCAGCACCTTCTCCCATGGGAGCACACTGGATGGCCCCGGGGAGGGCCGCCCTGGGCCCTGCCCCGGAGAAGGCCACGGAGCCGGCTGTCTGGGCGGCCCTCCCTCACCTGTCTCGCTGTGGGCTTGAGGCTCTGGGTGTGGCCCCGAGACCCGGCAGACGCAGGGGACCCTGCACCACAGCCCCAGGTGAGCCTTCTTGAGCCCTGCCCACCCGCCGAGGTGTCTCCTCCAAACCTGCCCTTTCCTCCTCCTCCTCCAGTTCTGTCCCCACAGAGAGCCTTTGCGCCCTGACAGCCAGAGTCTACACATTGGGGTGCAGACCCGTCTCTCCCGCTGTCTCACTTTCCCCTTGAAAATTCCTTCAGTTTTGAAGTGTTTGATAACAATATGGGGGGAACAAAATAAGTGACCGCCAAAAATGGCTGGGGTGGAGATGGGCAGACAGACACCCAAGGAGTTGTTGGGTACAGGCAAGAGGCCACCGAGCAGGGGTTTGGGGGTGAGGGGCCGGGTGGGGGACAGCACCTCTGGAATGTCTGCAGTCCTGCACCACTGATGTGCCTGAGGAAGAGCAACCAGGGGCTCCCAAGCTCAGGGCCCTGATTTCTCAAGTAAGCAAATGGGGGATTATCTCTTCGCTCATCTCCTGCCCCTCTTCCCCCCACCCCACCCCACAGCCCCCATTGGCAACGGACCCTCTTTGCTCAACCTCCTTGTCCTGGGAGTGATGGGAGCAGCCTGCAATGTCATAGGAAAGCTCTTCTCATTTTAGGAAACAAATTCAGTTGGGTGATGGTGCAATAGAAAGTATTAATTTGATTTAAATGTGGCAACTGGCAGGTAATTTTTTCTACCCATCTTACGCATCTAGAAAGCCCCTGTCTTCCTGAGCCCGCTGCCAGCAGAGCCCCGGGCTTTCAGGGTTCTTGGTCTCTGCCGACCATCCCCGTCACTAGTGACTGAGTGACCAAGCACTTCACAAGAGTAAACTCACTCAGTCATCACTGTCCTCTTATCCTAGATTCAAGCTAAGGAAACAGGCCCAGAGAGGTCAAACCACCCACCGAAGCCACACAGCAGTAGGTAGCGGTCAGAAGTGGGGGTCTCAGCGGCCACCTGCGCTGACCAGCTAGTACAAGCTTAGCAGGTGGGGCTGTTTGTCCGGCTCTCTCCTCTCAGGTTGGAACCTGGAGCTGTGGTGGCCACGGCCTCACCTGGTGGTCTCATAAAGGGCTGACTGATGGGGGCTGGGATGGGCCGAGTGTCTGCTTTCTTAACAGGCTCTCAGAGGGAGCTGCCCCCTGGGGCCACACCCGGAGGGGTGACCGGGCCGGTGACATCAGCTGCAGGAGTAAGAGCCCCGAAGGTTCTCCGGCCCCTGGCAGCTACAGAAACAGCTGAGGGCGGCACCAGCCTGCAGTGCGGGAGCAGGAGCAGCTCTGGCAAGTGTTGGGGTCTCCAGGATGAGGGTGGTACGGACCGGGCACAGCTGGGGTGCCAGGGCTGGGCGAGCTCAGAGGGCCTCTGTACGGCCACAGCCACTGAGAGGCTAGGGCTGGGCTGTGGTGAGGACCAGCTTAGGGGGCCAGAGGACTGAGAAGACCTGGACCCAGCCGTCAGAGGTGGGGGCCTGAGATGCTTAGCCTTCCAGAAGAGAGCAGAAGGCTGGGCTGGGCTCCCCGTTTCTGACCCATCCTCCCTGGGGTATCTCAGTTTTATTAGTTGACGCGTCTGTCCCCCTTAGACTATGAGCTTCTCAAGGTAGGGAGCCAGCCTTTCCGTCCTCGGCCCTGCCTCAAGGGGCACCTGCACAGTTGGGGCCCTCCACCCCGTCACCCTTCCAGCATGGTGTCATTTCCAGAAAGTCCATGTAATCCACATAATCTCCAGCAGGTGGCAGTAGCATCCTGAGGACACATCAGGACCACCTGTCTGGGATGGAGGGGATGGGCCGGGTGATCGGTGATCCGACTCCAGCCGGAGGGTGGGGGCTGTCTCCTGAGCCAGACTCTGAGATTGCCTGAGATTTGTGTCCTCTTGAGCAGCGTGACATGACCCTTCCCCCGACCCATCCCTAAGTACTACCCTAACTGGCAGGCAGGAGAGCTGGGTGTCCGCCCCACGAAGGGACATGGGAGGTGCCTGTGGCTGGGCACGTGGAGGGTGGGTTGAGCTTGCCCTTGTTAGGGCGTGGTCACCACTCAGTCACTAATAACCGGCTGAGAGTGACCAAGAAGCTTGAAAGCTTGAGACCCTGTTGGCAGGGGCGCTAAGGAAGGCTGGGGGTTTTCTTAGGTGAGTAAGGCTAGGAGGCCGTGGCAGCCACCTCTGTGTCCTGAGCCAGAGGCAGGCTGACCAGGCTTGAGGCAGAAACACGGGCCTGGTCCTCCTGGATTCCTTGTGGCTGGGAGGGGACAGCACACGGACCCCATGCTGAGGGGCTGAGGACAGGAGGCATTTCTGCAAGGACAGGTTGCCCCCAGGTAGAGGGAGGCCATGGGGCTCTCCTGTGCCCATGTAGTTCACTGTGACAGCTACCTGCTCAGACCCTTGAGTGAGTCCGCCAGTGGCAAAATGGGGGGGCAGACTTAGAGGTTCTCTCTGACCTGCTCACCCCAGACACCTCACCCCATCTGGCCCATGAGCACAGAAGCTAGTGGCCCGTGAAGGGCAAGGGTTACAGAGTCACAGCCACAGCCCGTCAGGGCGCAGGCCTGGACTCCCGCTCAGGAGTTTCCATGCCGTGAGCTCACACCCTTGTTTGATATGGCGGTGGCTCTGGGTTCCTGTGACATGTGCCCAAACCGCTAAGGAAATGGTCCTTGAGACTGTGGCAGGGGAGGGGGCGTTTCACCAGGCCCCTGTGGGTGTGGGCAGTGAGAAGGGACACCCAGGGAGGGGCTTCTCCCTGCCAGGCGGTTCGAGAGGTTGGCGTGACTGAACACCGTTTTCTTCCCCGTATAATACACTAGACTCTGACTCAGATGTCCCAGTCAGCTCGTGCTGCTGTAACAAATCACCCCAAGCTAGAGGGTGTCCCAACAGCCCCTCGAGAAGCAGCAAGCTCAGGGCCAGGGTTCATGTCCTCCTAATACTTTTATATTGGGGGTTAAGACAGACGTATGAATTTGGGGTAAATACAGGCATTTGGTCCACAACACCAGGCCCACAGTTGTAAAGGACAAAGTTTTAATAATCATTTCACTGAAAGGATCTGCCAGTTTAAATATCACTGAATTCTGAAAACATGTAAGACAAATGTCAAGTTTGCATTAGAG